AACTGGAAAGACATATATATGGAAGACATTGTCCGCTGCATTGCGTCGAAAAGGTGATATTGTGTTGAATGTGGCTTTGAGTGGTATTGCTTCGCTTCTTTTGGAAGGAGGTTTAGAATATCTCTAAACATATATGATTACTTAGTTTACAAAGTAGAACGTGGAATTGATTTGGCCCAACTTTTTGCACGCACTAAGTTAATCATTTGAGATGAAGCACCAATGATTCACCGATATTTTTTTTGAGGCTTTGGATAAAACATTAAAAGACTTAAGCCATTTTTCTGCGCCGGGAATAAAAAAATATCCATTTCGTGGAATAGTCACAGTATTTGGAGGAGATTTTAGACAAATCTTACAAGTTATCCCAAAGGCATCACATCAATAAATTGTTGCTGCTACGATCAATGCTTCTCCCATCTGGGCAAATTGCGAGGTGCTTAGACTTACTAAAAACATGAGAATTCGTCAGGGTAATAATGTGAAATTATATGCTGAGATTTAAGAGTTCTCTGAATGGTTGCTTAGAATTGGTGATGGTAAAGAGAGAGAATCAAATGATAGTATAGTGGGTATTTATATTCCTGAAGATATATGTATTACAGGTTCAGGTAATCTTATTTCTATTATTTGTGACACTATTTATCCAAAAATAGTAGATTGTTTGGATATACCGAATTTTTTTGATGAAAGGGCCATCTTAGCTCAAACACGCGATGATGAAGATGCTATTAATGATTACATGCTAACACTCTTAAGTGGAAGTGCAAGGACTTATTTTAGTTATGATAGCGTTGATCAACAAGATAAGCCTCCAAACAGTGAAAATAATCCAATGTATTCTGCCGATTTTCTCAATAGCATTAAATCTTCTGGTTAATCTCTTAAGGTTGGTGTTCCTGTTATGGTATTTAGAAATCTAGATCAGCTAGGAGGTTTATGCAATGGTACAAGACTTCAAGTGCTTAATTTGGGAGAATGTGTCATTCATGCGAAAATAATTTCAGGTACAAATATAGGAAGAAGAGTGTTCATTCCTTGCATGGTGATTGACCCCACTGACAAGAGTTTACCTGTTGTAAAATCTAAAGGAGACAGTTTCCAGTTATTGTTTGCTTTGCAATAACTATAAATAAGAGCCAAGGCCAATCACTTTCAAATGTTGGTTTATACTTAAGACGTCCTGTTTTCACTCATAGTCAGTTGTACGTCGCTCTATCTAAAATGAAATCAAGAAAGGGTTTAAAAGTCCTCATTTGTGACAAGGGTAAAGAGTTTGGATGCCAAACAACTAATGTAGTCCACAAAGAAGCATTGGATAAAGTTTGATTGAGAATGTTTATTTATTATTTATTTTCACACTTTATTTACTGTTTTTGAATACAGTGTATTGATCTTTATATTTTTTCACAATTTTAATAATATATTCTTCACCTTTTTAAACGTCTTTGAATAGCTTTACACTTTTTTTTTCATTAATTGATGTATTTCGTTTGTATCATATTATGTTTTGCACTATTAATTGGAAAAAACTTCACATCCCGTCTAACGGTCGGGCCAGCCACTAGTTTAATTAATAGATTCCACCAAATTAAAAATCCTACAATGTCACAGGTAGTATTTCTTTAAATTCGTCTCAAACAATTCAAAATGATGATTTAGAATAAATCCATAATCAACACCTTCAAGTTGGGGTATGCGAGGTAATGACTCGCAGCTTAATATCCTTGTGAAATATTCGCAAAAGTTCAAAATTATCAATGGGAAATTTTTTGAGTGAGGAGTGAGCAAGCTTTGTTGTAAAGAATCTGCTGTATTCAAGCATATACGTATATAACAGGAATGAAACATTACCTACACGTATGGCAGACACATTTAATGGAAATATGGTCCACTAGATCATATAGAAACTTTAGAAGTGACCAAATGCTTATTTGCATTTGCTTGCAAATAGAATTTGATTCTTATTTCGAGACGTTGATACTTTTAAAGGATTGTACCAATGTGCAAATTCTGAAATTTAAAAGGTCCTAAAAATTTCTATGATTCACTAATACTAAACAGTTAATAAAATTTCAAAAATTCTAGTTTTTTAAATTCCTTAGATTGCGTTCTTTTGTCCGGAAAAGTGTTATGTATTAAAGAAATCTTTTATTAACTTTGACATGTTTTAAATACATATTAGAATCAGTTATCGATTGATGCATTTTTTTTTTTTACATAGATATAATAATAAAATTTTAAATTTTAAATAAATTATAAAATAAAAATACATGTTGCACAATAATAACTAATGAAATGAATTCACATTACCATACCAACCAACGCAGCCTTAGAATACAAAGACGTGTACTCTTTAGTGCAATATCAACTATATCATACATCATCAAAGGCGTGTACTCTTTTTATAGTTATACTAAAACAGTGAGATGAATGCAAATTTTACTTAACGTAATAACAAAAATGTAATGAACCTCCAAGGTTAAAAAACAAAAAACTTTTTTTACTCTTTAGTGTGACAAAATTTTTTTTATCCCCTTGACCAACAGATCAAGTTTCCATTAAAGATTGGAAACTCAAAGTAAAACCAAAATGTAGTAAAAGATCTCAATTATGACTCTATATAAAAAAAATTTAAAAAAAAAATTTACATTTAATTCTGATATTTGTATTATTTTTCATAAGAATCTCAAGTTCAATGTTAATTTTTTTTTTCATACTATATTATAATTGCTGCTTAAGTTTTGGAGTTTGATAGTCCTTCCCACTTACCTTATTTATAGTCTCTCAGTAAAGCAATTGGACAATTTTATAGTCCCTCATTTGATTTGGTCAAAAGCATTTTTCAATAAATATTTTGTCCTATTTATTTCATTATTATGTTACTTATTACCCATTATCTTTTATTTTATGATAAAATATCATTCCTTTATATCTAATTTTATAATAATAAATTATCCTTGATTATCAAACAATATAACGACCCTTTGATCTCCCTTCCATTAATTTTTCATTTTAAGGTTACAAAATAATTATTTCTCATTATTAGGTAAATTTAATAAGTCTAAAAATGGTTTTAATGATTCTAACTATTAATTTCAAAAGTAAAACTGATTGGCCTAAAACGGTTTTCAGTAATTATAATCTTTTCGAATTCCTTAATATCTTTTCTTATTCTCTTTTTCTCTTTGAATTTAATAGATTTTTTAATGGTTCTTTTATTGTTCCATAACTCAAAAGAATATTAAAAGTCATATAGCATAAATTTACATACATATAATTCGAAAGGGTGTAAGTTTTAGTCACTTATCTCTTTCTCTTTGTTTTTTTCCCTTTCAAATCTTTATTTTTACATCTCAATTTCAAATCTATCAGAGATTATCATTTTTTATTGCTCGTCTCCATCTTTTTTTTTTCCTTCAATTTTTCCTTCTCAAATTTAGTTTTAGTTTTTGATATTTTTTCTCTTCTTTTTTTTTAAATTGTTCTTTTTCTCTTTTGGTAATATATAAACTTGATTTATTTTATTTCTCCCTGGTATTGTCCTTTTCTTTTCACAATCAGAATACTATATGTTATCTCTATTGAAATAAGAAGTGGCACATTTTAGTGATATCATTTTATTTTTACAATTTAAGAGTATAGATTTTTAACTACCAATAAATTTGTTAACATATTTTATAGATATGTATCAGACAACAATGTAATTTATTATTTTAACTATTAAAAAATTTTATTTATTTTTATAATATACATTACGTAACTTAATTCTATATAGCGTACGCGCGAAGCGCGTATAATCCATTTAGTTTGACATAAAAGAGTAACATTTTATTAATAACTTATAGACTAAGCGATTAAAAAAAAAACACTAGTATCTTTTTGCCACACGTGCGAGAAGGACTCCCACGCTTCTCTCCCATTACATGTACCTACATATGCGCCTTCTCGTGTCAGGCGTATCCGGACACACATTTTCCTCGGAACTAAATTCCATCTACACACTATCAATAAAAATAAAGCAAAAAATTAAACAAACAATAATAGTAAACAAATCAAATCTTAGGTGGTATCTCAATTGTATGAATTATGATTTTCTTCTCATACATTTACCAATTTGATGAGGAATCTGTGCTAAAAATTAGTTCTGTGTATATGAAGGACTTGGATTACCAGGAATCTAATGCTAAATTGCTTATATGCTTACTGATCGATACCTAACCCACCACCACCATTAAGCAAAGTTGTTTGATGCCATTGTCAAATCACCATCCAGAAAAAGAAAAACCAAGTTGAAAAGGGCCACAGATTACAACAATGGTGGAGGGCTTTCTTCCTTTGGTGTTATTCTGTTTTCTTGGGGGATTTTGAAAGGAAAAGTGGAAACTTCCTTTCTCAGCTGCTTATATTATTAGATGTGACCCGCTGAATGTTTCCTTCTGGGACTGTCGTTACTGAGGACGGTTCGTGTGTCCATGTTGACTCCCTCAAAATTTTAATGGTCAGTGACTCATTTGAACAATCAATTCATTTATCACAAAAAAGTATTCTTTAATATTGTTCCATTTTTTTCAAGTGCTTGTCTACGAGGAAATCATCAAAATTTCCGAATTTTTTTTCGTCCTCTAATTTTCTAAATTACTAATAGTCCTGTACTGCACACCTTGTCCTGAATTTCTTTCTTGGTTTGTCCGTTAGGAAGATTATTGGATGACCATTTGTTGTGTGCCTTTTGGCGTCTTCTTAGCTTAGGAACCTTTTTTCGGTTCTATGTCATTTAGGATAGTATTTAGTTGTTGTTATTGGTTTTGTTGTTAGAACCCAGTTAAGTTTTCTTGTTGAAACTTGGAAGTTGGATTTTTCTTCTTTTTTGGTGTCATTGGATTGGAGAGGTTTGCTTCACCTTACTCATATCTGATCCCACCCCACGATTTTTGAATTTTTAGTGGAGGGTTGGAGCTTCTGAGCCTCAATAAGGTTCCTTTTACTCATCATCTGCAATGACAAACTACGATGTTTCGTATCTGTATAAGAGTATGGACAAGAATCCAGTATGGGAATTGTTCAAGAACCTAAGGTATATGTTGATCTTAAGTGTTCTCTTTCCTTTTCCTTTTTCTCTTTTGTCAATTTTGTAAATTTCTTGGATATCTTGGAGGGTTGTTTGGAAATTGGATTTGGGAAGGGGAATGAAACATGTCTTACATTGGAGGAACTTTAGACAAAATTTCTGGCTGTTGGTTTTGGGAATTGCTTGTGGAGGGTTGATGTAATTCAGACTTGTCACATGATTCTTGCAGGGATGTTTTAAAGAAGGATGAGTTGGGTGTGGAAATAGCTAAAATTGCGATTCCTGCAGCAATGGCCTTAGCTGCTGATCCTATAGCTTCTCTGATTGATACAGCTTTTATTGGTCATATAGGTATGTTCTCTCTTTCCCCTTCTTCGAGCTTTATCGATTAATATACTTTTCTTGGTGGCAAAGTTCGGGGTCAGTTTAGTCTTGCATCATGATGATAAGTCGAACTGTAACTTATTTTTGTCTGCTATTGTTTACAGTCTACCAACATTCAGCAACGCCTTAAAAGAAATGTATTGGATATTAGGGGTATAATAACTAGTTAATCTTCGAGGGTGCTAAATGAAAATATGAAACTGACTTGGCATCTGGATATTGGATTCAATGACAGTTTTAAGTGTAGAATTTATCATTGAGCATCGAGTTTGGTTGCATGCTATGTTTGTTGTTTTTTGATTGTTATGGATCTGCTAATATGTTACTCTCACCAATTATCTTGTCATGTTTACTCTTGCAGGGATTTATATCTCTTTCTCCGTCAATGCTGCTTATTAGTAACCAAATGCACCTTAAGTACCTTTTTTGTTTCTCTTACTTAGCATATGAAAAGTGTTTTTTTTTTTTTTTTTGTGTTGACATCCTTTTCTCTGCTGCATGATCCCTGTTCTCTCAGTAGCAACCCATTTGTGCTCTTTTGTTCATGAGTTTGAAAAGGTTTTGCAATGTCATGCTAACACTTGATGGTTTAAGTATTTGCCAGCTTTTACTCATAATCCTATATATGTAGGTCCTGTGGAGCTTGCAGCTGTGGGTGTTGCCATAGCAGTATTCAATCAAGCCTCGAAAATTGCAATATTCCCACTTGTTAGTGTGACAACTTCTTTTGTTGCTGAAGAAGATGCAACTAGAAGTTTTGAGGGGGATCCAGAAGAAATTGAAACATTAGAGAGTGGTTTCGCTGGAAATTCTGAAAAGGAAGAGTTAATACCCAAAGTTGGTAAGTGGAAAGTACTCTTTCATTCGTTAGTTTTCATTAGTTTATGCAAAATGGTCCCCACTCCATTGTTTACAAATCCCTTTTTGTAATCTTGAAGCTGTTGTTAAATACCCATAATAGAGAGATGCTTTATAGAACAAGATTTTAAGTCTTTTGACAATGAAATACATAGATGAACAGGGTTGCAAGGAAGAGTATTGAGTTGCACATGAGGACCCAAAAACCACTAGAATGAATAATAAATGCTTCTAAAAGAAATTACACATCTACATTTAATTAAAACATGACATAACTGTCTTGACATCTACATAAGACCTTTCGATGTGCTTTATAGAGTCGTTAGGAAGGAAAGAATCATTAACGCAAATTGAAAAAGTGTAACACCTGTCAGCAATTGGGAAGAAATTAGAACGGCATGACTTTCTTAAAGTTAGTGTTACAGTGAGTACATGTTTTCACAGACCTAATAAAAAGATATGATCCATTTTTCCCACTAACTTGTAGTATAACAATGTAATCATTTTCACAGTTCTGCTCACAATTTTACTGCTGGCTCTGCTTGACTTCTGATGTATTCCATTTTGTATCAGAGTCCGCAAATAGTTTTTCAGTCAGCCCCTCCCAAGGAAAACTGGATGAAGGCAGGCAGAATTGCAGGCATAACTCTGCTGCTTCATCAGCTTTAATAATTGGTGGTCTACTTGGCATAGTCCAAGCTGTTTTCCTCATCTTTGCCGCAAAACCCTTGTTAAATTACATGGGTGTAAAACCTGTAAGTAAGAAATTTTGTAATCATTGTGCATTTTTTGTGTCATGTAAAAGTTTCTTGCAGACATTAACTATAAGGCTAGTAGGATTGTTTTCTTTCAGTTATTGTTAATGACAGTAAAAATATATCCTCAAGTTTGTCGCTTTGTCTATCAAAGGAATCTTTTTGTGATATCTAATGTTTAAAGATGGTCATTTTTTTTTTAATTCAAATTCTGAAGAAATTAGGGTTGTTCATCTAATGTTGTGTTAAGAACTGATTATGGAATCTTGGTAAACACATTCTGCCCTGTGCATTTCATTGTCTCTTTATTATGATTACGTCTTTGCATTATCTTTGGACTAAGTTACTGCCATTAAATGAAAGTTCATTTTCCTTGTAGGATTCACCTATGCTAAATCCAGCCATAAAATACTTGACAGTTAGGTCTCTTGGTGCTCCTGCTGTGCTCCTTTCCTTGGCCATGCAAGGGGTCTTTCGTGGATTCAAGGATACCAAAACACCTCTTTATGCAACAAGTAAACTACGTGTCCAATTTTTTTCTGTCAGCTTTATGTGTTTGGTGCTCCTTATGTACTAGAGAACAGAATAATCTGCAACTGCATTCATCCACTTGTCTTATTTTGAACAAACATTTGTCAGTTCATTGTTTTTGGAAGTTTTCAGGGATTCTCATGAACTTTATTTGTTTTAATGCAGTGATGGGAGACATAGTAAACATAATTCTCGACCCCATATTCATTTTTGTTTTTGGTTTTGGTGTCACTGGAGCTGCCATTGCCCACGTGATCTCGCAGTAAGATATACCTTGCTAATATATAATCCTATCTGAATTTTACTGTTAATTCTGGCTCTTCTAGGCTTTGGTGTTTTTGTTTCTTGTATGAATCAGGTTATTGATTTTTGCAGGTACTTAATATCTCTGATACTTATGGGCAAACTAATGGGTCAAGTAGATCTTTTGCCACCTCGTATGAAAGATCTTCAATTTGGTCGCTTTCTAAAGAATGGTAAGTCCTTTTTGATAGTTAAAATTGAGTTTTAGCATGGCTAATAATCTTTTCTAGCTTTGATCTGCTTGAGCCAGCAGCATGTTCTTTTGATTGTCCCTATAAAATGAGTACAAGAAGCGAATATGTCTTGGTCATCATCAGGATTGGATTGCAAAGCGATATATTTCTTTTCCATTTTGTAATACTGGGCTTTAGGCTATTAAATATTTGGTGGTTTCCCAAACACTACAGCCTAGATGAGACAGATGCCTATCGAATCTGTAGAGCCTGTTCCTAATGCATCCGTATCCAAAACATTTTCACACTGCAACTTTCGTTCCATGTCATTCATTTTGCTCTTTGCTTTTATAGTTAATGGATCTGTATGTATAGATGTGCCTCAGTTTGCAATTTTCTTTCCATAATAGCCTTCATTTTTCTTTCCCCTTTCATAGTAAATGGTATGCATATGCAGCTATTACCTTAATAGAAGAACAGATGTCAGCATAAAGCTTTGTTTCCAAACACTGGCGTTTTTTGAATTGAATAACAAGGAAAAGTGAGCAATTTTTATGCATGTGGCATTACTATTTACCAATGTGAGCCTAAAGGATAATTTGTTGACTGAAATTCTGCATTAACTTCTCTATTAAATGGTCTGATTATTGTTCAGTTTTGTCTTGATCGGTTGATGTTGTATCACTGACAGATTGTGAGAATTGTGGTTCTATTTTGTTAAGTGGTTCTAGCTCTTATTTTGTCTAGGCACTTATGTGTTGTCTGTATGGAGTCTGTACTTTCTTTTCTACGGACTGAAATGAAAACAACCTTTATTCCAAAAAACTGCCAACAATGAGATCTGGTCAAATTTGTGTCAATGTACTTGTCTGTTGTTTTAAGCAATTAGAGTTTACATTTGTAATTTATTGATTGGAATACATCAGTGACAAATAGCATAGGATTCAGTGTGACTGTTTGCAAGTGTGGGATGCATCATGATAAGGTGGATATGAGCTGATTATGTTCATGTAGGCCCTGAAAACCAAATTGTGTCGTCAAAGTTCAAAGTGGAGTGAAATGACATGTTTGGTAATGGTAATTTTAGTTTGTGATCACAAAGCTTTGCTTTACTGATTCTTTGAAAGTTAGGAAAGAGACTTTATGGCTGGAGCTATTAAAAGCACTTCAAAGTTTCTGTATGGGTGTTTAGTGACTCCTTATTAGTTCTAAGCTGTGTTGTGGCTGTCAAATATTGTTTTCCTAGTCCCTTAACATTTCTACACTCTGGATGGTGCTTGAGCTTCGCCAAATCTTTTTTTTTTTTTAATTAATATCCCTTATGGAAATCTGCCTACCTATAAACAGGTGGTTCCTGCTTTTAGTTTCTGCTCCCAAATTTGGTCATACATCATTTTCGAAAATATGGTTTAGCTTAACATTATGGCAATATGATCTAAATAGTTGTTTGCACGTACTAGGATGAATGCTTCATTGTTGTTGTGGCCTCAAGCATCTGAGCTGTAGATTGTTTTACTTTCTAACGAACCTTATGGCACGTTTCTGTTCAAAAAGTGTCCAATGTTGCATTTCTGTTGGCCTGATGGAATCCGCCTACATTTTATTCCAGTATTCCATGCTGTAAACTGATGTAATTATTCCATGTGCATTGTTTAAACTATTTTTAATGCTTGGAATCAGGATTTCTGCTGTTATTGAGAGTCATTGCGGCAACATTCTGTGTAACCTTGGCAGCTTCACTTGCTGCAAGACATGGATCAACATCTATGGCTGCTTTTCAAGTATGCTTGCAGGTTTGGCTGGCAACCTCCTTACTTGCTGATGGATTAGCAGTCTCTGGACAAGTAAGTTTCACTGTCAATTGAATTGAATTCCTCTTCTGTTTCCATAAAACTGTGGTTTAACCGAGCAATAGACGAAAATGGATCATTGAAGCTACACGGTGAGATATCAGCTTAGTCATTGCTGTTGTTGTTCAAACTCTATAAAAGGGCTCGAGTTGAGATTTACTTGGCTTACTTAATGGTCAACTAGCTCATTGGAGATCTGATGAGTGGTTTCCAGACTATGGAACCTGCTGATAGACAAAAAAACTGAGCTAGAACAGTTATTGAGCCTCTCTAAAGCAATGAGATTGTAATTCTTGTTCCACTTTGCCTTTTTCCAGTTTTGGGTGTTTGACTGAATTAATTCTTTTTCCAAGATTTATAGAAAAATAAGATGATGTTGTATGCTTTTAATGATAAACATTCAGCTAATCTCAACCTTGTGTTTATTTCAGGCCATTCTTGCTAGTGCATTTGCTAAGAATGAATATGATAGGGCCACACTAACTGCATCCCGTGTTCTACAGGTAGCCTAACTTCTAACAGTACTCCTATGTTTCCTTTCTCGTTTTCTTTTTCCCTTTTGTGTATCAGCATTGACGAATTCTTCCATTTTTCAGCTGGGATTGTTACTTGGTCTCGGTCTTTCACTTGTAGTCCTTGTGATTCTGGGATATGCATCAGGGCTTTTCACAACTGATAAAGAAGTTTTGAGCCTTCTAAGTTTAGGAATTCCGGTAATTTGGTTCACATGAAAGTATTTACTTTCCTGTCTTTCCTTTTTGGTGAACCAGTTCTAACAGCTGAGTACAGTTTGTTGTAGCGACCCAGCCGATCAACTCTTTGGCATTCGTCTTTGATGGAATAAACTATGGGGCATCAGATTTTACATATTCTGCCTACTCCATGGTAAGTTTTCGCCCAATTCTTGTTTTCATTTTCTATGACGTCATTTAACCTTCATTTTCTTGATGCCTGATGTGGTTCCTCCGACATAAACCAAGTAAAAACCTGAAAAGCAAACATGCTGTTTTCCGGCAGCACAAGAAGAAACTATTGAGGCTTATCTGATCATTGATTCTCCTGCAGATTTTAGTAGCAGCAGTGAGCACTGTTTTGTTGCTTTTGCTGTCATCAAGTTTTGGTTTTGTGGGAATATGGGTTGCATTGTCCATCTTCATGAGTTTGCGAGCATTGGCTGGATTTTGGAGGTAAAATACCCTATCATCCCCCGAATGAATGTTTATTGCCAGGTTAGGATTCCCTTACTGAGGTCCTACTTAATTTTTACATCTGCAGGATAGGAACAAGAACAGGACCTTGGAGCTACCTTCAAGGGTGATGTCTCTTTTCTACAATGAAATCAAATTCTTGGATTTGCAGAATTCTTCCCTCAAATCATTTCCAGGGAGGGCCCTAGGTTTTTGGCGAAGTCAGAAAGAGTTCTTACAAAGAATTCAATTATGCAAACATGTAGCCTATATCCTAAATGTGCATATTGAATAACATGATTACTGTTAGTTAGGATTTAGATTCGTAGACTAAGATTATAGAAAACGAGCCACCAGGCTTGTGCTGTAAAAAGGTATTTTCACACATTTATTGCAGAACTTTTACGGCTTGTAGATATTATTCTAGCGGAAAGCGTAAAGGAAAAAAAAAAAAAAAAAGTGAACGACAAAAATGGGCATACAAAGTAAAAGTTAGTCTTTGCACTAATGTTAATTTTTGTGTGCCTCTTCTCGAAGATTTTCTACTATTGTGTGAGATGAAGACTCAATTCCTTGGATTCATTGTTGGAAGAATTTTTTTTTTGACAACCAAAAGGACACATTCTATTGAGATGGAGAAATCAGTGTTCGGTTACAAGCTTTGGCCTTAATATGGACCAACAGTAGTTTTTCCCTACATACTTTCTGAATAGTACAAGTCCTAAACAGAGACATGAAATGTTTGATTTCTCCTAAAATGTTTTGCATGGCTACAAGAGCATTTCCTATTTCTGTCAGATAATGCACAAGTGAAGCAGAGTCAGTCTCAGTACCCAAATGTACCTCTCTGCAGTTTTTAGAAACAGCCCATTTGATAGCAGCAAGGCAGGTAAATGCTTCAGCATGTAATGCTGAAATTGCGATAAATTTGGTTGATTGTATTTCCATATCCTGCTGGCCTTGATTTGGTCGGTCCTGTGTGAGAAACAGCCATGCTCCAGCTGCCTCAAGAGTTTGCTGATTAAAAGCCCCATCAAATATTAAATTGGTGTGGTCTTCCGGTTCCATTGGAATGGGAGCCTCTACTTGAGAAAATGCTGTGGAGGAACGCGTCCAATACCAGCTTCGACGGATGCCCTGGTATTCGTAATGGGAATTCTTGACTATTTCTTCTGGAGAAGCAATTGTATGCTCCCACAAACGCTTATTCCTGCTTTTCCAGATGTGCCAACAGAGGACTAATGATTCTTCCAAAAGCTCCTTGTTCGGTGCTTCTTGAAACCATCTCGATAGCCAAACTTGTATATCCTCCCTTGTATCAATCGAAACTTAAAACCAAACCGTGATAGGAACCAAATGCGTTGAGCATTATCACATTCTAAAAATATGTGTGAAGTTGATTCCTCAGAGCTTTCACATGTTGCACAAACAGGGAAAATCTGGATGCCTCTTTTCCTGAGTTGTAGCGCAGATGCACATCTATTATTGGAGAGCTTCCAAATAAAATGCTGAATTTTAAGTGGTAGACGAAGTGACCAAAGCTTTTTCCATATGCCCGTCATGAACGGCTGTTGGAGCTTGACGATTGGAAGTCGATGGGAAATTATTTCTGGCGATGGTCATGGCTTGGTATTTTTCCTTTTTTGTTTTTACAGATCGTGAACTTTAAGAACTTTTCAGGGAATCCTTCATGATAATAATTAAATATTGAAATTTCTTAGTTCCAAAATTTAAAGCAAGTTATGAACACAATAAAAGATGGCGAAGTAAAAATTGAAAAGAAATTCCGGTATGATTCCGTAGATTTGGGTAATGTTCTTCTGCCAATAATTGGACCATCCAACATTTTTGCATTTGACGTTGATATGGGCAAAGGCGCAAGGCACTAGCACCTTCTTTCCTCCAACTATATGTATGTAGTTTTCATCTTAGACAGTTGAAGTATTTGTAATATTCAGCCGTTGAAAACAATAGTAAGCTAAAACATGATATAACTCATGTTTGTCAATGTAAAATATATTCTGACAGTTTTCTTTCTTTCCTACTTATACATATTGTGAGATATCCTAATTAAATTAATCAGACATATATATGATGCATTTTTCTTAATCAGACAATTTTTCGCTAACTATACTTATATTATACGTTTGGGTTAAAGGGTCGAGCTTGATGGAACATTACCCATTATTTAATTTATCGTTATTATTATTTGGTTGTCAATGTTTACTTGGTCCATGTCATGTGTTGATTTGGAGCAAAGTCAACGTTTCTTGTTTTGGAGGTATAAGTTCTTACAAAAGTGTGCCAACCCCTTTCAGTTAACTCGAACATTTTTAGGTTTAAAATGCCGGTTATGAAGTCCTGAAGGGTAAGATCCCGATTAAGCTTGCGAATTTCCGTTTTATGGATAAAAGAAAATAAAATAAAATCTTGGGAACAAATGAATAAATTTTAGCTGTTCATGTAGATAGGATGAATTAGTAGAATGTATTATTCATTTCGTGAAACAAAGATTAAAAAGAAAAAGGTGGAATTTATCCCGAAAGAAAAACAAATTTTCTAATATCATCTTCACTAGTATCTAATACTTCCAAAAAGCACTTCAAAAAAAAAATAATAATTCCAAAAAAGACGAAATATTGAATCTCGCCTGCCCTCAAAAAACAATTGAGAATAAAATAATAAAATCTATTAAAATAAACTCCTCTATCATCATACTTCAACGTATTGATGTTAAGGAAAATTATGAAACCTCGTTATCTTCCCTTAATTGGCTGAGTTAAAAGGGGGGTTCATTATCTCATCACTACCATCGTAATCTGTTCGAAAGCAAGATTCGTCATTAACAATTTGTAGGAAAAAATAATAAATAAAGGATAAGTTTAGATCCCTTGAGGATGTTTGGAGACTTAAATAGAGATTTGGAGTGTTGTCGTTCTTGAGAGTCCTAGGCCGTAGTCACTAAGATTGAATGGCTGCTTCAAATTCATCAGCATGTTACAAGATATTTCCCTTTTATAGCTTATCTTTGTTTCGTGGATTGCGGGCTAGAATTAAGATTGCATGGCTTCTTTGCATTATCATTTCTGGTTGGTATTTCTCCATTTTACTTTACCCAAATGTCGGTTCCAAGCTATTTCATAAAAACATATATAATGAATTCACTCGGTCATGAGATTCTTGATCAGATAGTCGTTTTCAATTAAGTAGATGAGTGCTTTTTGTTTTTGTTTTTGCATCCATATTCACGTTATAATAGCACAGAAAACAGGTTTTGGATATTTGTATTTGGAATAATAAACTATAACGCTCAGGTTCTGATGATGATATGCAACTTGTACATTATTGACATTGGAAAACAGTAAGAACATAAATGCCTAGTGGCACATACAAATGAGAGAAAAAAAAAAATCAAAGATCAACGACAACAGCATATTCTGAAGGTAACAATTACAAATTTTTCAAATGCTTTGCATCAGACGAAACCCTAAAAACTAGAGTTTGTAGGTAGACTTTTTTTTAATGTTCTTTTAGAGCTCATAAATCTTCCAATTTTCATCAACTATATTGAAACATGTTTAAATTGAACTAATGAACACATTAATTACAGAATCTTCTGGAGTTCCATTCTTCATCTATCGGGAAATTCTGTGACCATCGCTTCAACCCATGACAAATCCGGTTCCTCGCTTCCAACATTAGCAACAACATTCAAACCAAGGTGGCGGGAACTAGGACTCCTAACCTGCTGCACCCTCTGAGACCTAGAACTAGAAGGTGAATAAGCTTCCATGTTGTGAGGAGAAACCATTGTTCCTGATCTAAAGCGACTCATATTCAGTTGAGGACTGCCCCCTGGAAGATGCAATGTGGCAGGGACATTGGAAGAGACATGTCGGAACTCCTCTTGTGAGTGTGCAAAAAAGCAAACTATTCTTCTGATGCTGACCAAGATTACAGAACTGAGTCCTGTACAATGATGGATGAAGCCAAGACTAAAAAACCCCATGTGCGAATTCACATCGATCCCCACTTGGACATTTTCCTTGTTTTTGGTGGAACTCCTGGCAAAGAACTGAGCAGTAATGATATTTCCTGGGGTCCCTTCTTTGAGCTTTCTTGCCTGAATGAGCAAAGGGACACTCTGTCCAATCATGTGGAATCGAATGAGAGCATGGATGAACCTTAAACGAATACATCATAAACTCATATGTTCGATAGAAGCTGTGTTTGATGTTTGGTAATGTTGGATCAACTGGATACTTTTTCTTCCCTCTTGAACCACGGTTACAGCGCCGAAGCTTTTTTGGTGAGATGTTTCGTTCTCCAAATTTTGGATCAGTGCTAGGGAGGCCGTCAGTTTCAACCATTGAATGATTCATCATCGCTGGTTTCAATTAAAGGAAATGAGATGAGATGATACCCTTTAAAAGAAGTTTTTCTTTAATACCTCATATCAAACACACTTTTTTCAACAATTTGTTGTTGTTGCTTTAAAAGATTCAGCATTAGTAAAAAAGGATTTCAGAAATAAATATCAGGAAAACCACGATGTATTCAGGTAAAAACCACACCCTAATCTCACTTATCCCGAAATGTCAATCGCCCAAAGATTCTAGTGAGTTAGGGCCGATATCCTGTTGTAACACATTGTATAAATGCATTACTAAATATATAAATGAGAGACTGAGTAATGTATTGCATGTTATGGTCAATCTAAATCAGGGAGCTTTTGTAAAAGGTAGATATTTTATGCATAATGTACTAATTACTCAAGAACTAGTGAGGTTATATAGGCGAAAAGCAGTTTCTACGAGATGCTTGCTTAAAATCGACCTCGGGAAATCCTATGATAGTATAAACTAGGAATTCATCCATGAAATGATGTTAGGGATTGGATTCCCAACAAGATTCATAGACAAGACATTGTAGTGTGTTACCACATGCTCTTACTCTATGAACTTGAATGGAAATCTATTGGGGTACTTTCCAGGGAAAATGGGTGTAAGGCAAAGGGATCCTATCTCACCACTGTTGTTTGTATTAGTCATGAAATACATCACTAGGCTGTTTAAGAGAAACTGGAAAAGGGAACCATCCAGTTTTAGCCTCAGTGTGAGTCACTTCAGATTATAAACCTTCACTTTGTTGATGATCTAATTATTGTATGCAAAGTTGAGGAGAATACAGTTCAAACAGTGATGAGAAAACTAGAGGAATTTGGCCAGGCAATTGGATTGTATGCTACCTGAAGAAATCACAAATTTACATTTGAGGAGTATCGGAAAAAAAGAAAAAACACGAAGCAATAGTAGGTTTTGAAAGGGGAACGTTCCCTATCAAATACTTAGGTTTTACCTTGTCACCAAGCACTTGGATTCAAGTTGATTGTCAAGGATTGGTTGACAGAATGACTATTTGATTGCAAATCTGGGCTTCAAGACATTTATCATACATGGGAAGGATTCCATTAATCAACTCTGTCCTGTTACATATGCAAACGTATTGGGCTCTGGTGAACTTAATTTCCAAAAGTGTTGTACTACAAGTGGAAAGATAATGTAGAGAGTTTTTATGGGGAAGGAAGGAATCCGGGAGACCATTTCCACTAGTGGTAAGAAGAAAATTTGTTTGTCTAAGAAGGAAGGGGGACTGAGTATTAGGATGTCAATAGATGGAATATGACAGCTGTGGAAAAACAGGTCTGGGATTTAGCTATAAAAAAAGACAACCTGTGAATAAGGTGGAGACATGGGGTGTATATGAAGAGGAGTGAGTTTTTGGATGTTGTTGTGAAGAATGATTCAAGCTGGCATTGGAAAAAGTTGATCATGATTAGGGATAAGCTTAGAAATGGCTTCCAGCTTAGCAAGGGGATGGGACAGAAGAATGGAAAGAACTCAATAGCATCTGGGGTTAAATGGCTAGAAGGAAGAATGCCACAACACAGTGTAACAGGGTTTTCTTGGAATAAGACTACTGTCCCCAAATACTCTTTCATTGCTTGAACTAGTTGTTAATGTAGTAAACTTTGTGATATTTCTAGTGATCTGAAGTGGTGTTTGTATATAGTAGGAGTGGAATTATCAGTATTGTATATGATGTACATATATGATCATTTTGGCTAGATGAAATACCATTCATAGTTTATCCAAAAAAGAAAAAAAAAAAAAGAGTGCCAGAACCATCCAAGGTAAAAAAGAATTTTTTTAATTAAAAAAAAATTCCATAAATGTCACTACGGATTATTTCCAAAAATAGAGGACAAATTTTTCTCTAAGTTGGTAAGAAATATCCACCATTTAAAGAAAAAAATTCAACACTTTGACTAGCAAAAAATTCACAATATGGGCACACAAATCTAGAACAACATCAAATCAAACGAGAGACATTACAAAAAAATCTTAATAGATCAAAAGAAACCTTGTAACTCCGAGGGTTGGATTGAAGGGGAAAGGGATCAATTGGGAGAAAAAGGAGGCATGCTTTGCATTTTTAATCCTCTATAGTGAAAAACAAAACGTTTGTCCTGTGCCAAAAAAAAGTTCCTCAATGATCTGTGAGGAAAAATGGATCATGTAAAACATAAGAAATGGTAAAATAATTTAAGGGCCAAAAAAGAAAAGAACAAAAGCTCTCAGCAGTGATACAAAGGAATTGCAAAACTTCAAAACACCGCACAACATACCCAAAAAAGCTGATTTTGATAAACGACAAATAAGTAAGAAATAAACAGCATAACAACATCAGAAGAGCCTTAAATCGAAGAAACATCGATCAATCAAACAAAATTGAGAGCAACAGATAAAAATTAACCTTAGAAGATAAATCAAATTAAGCTATATCCACCCCAAACCATGAACAATATCATCCATTTTCACCAACAGGGACGAGAGAGAAGATTAAGTATTGTAGCCCACATTAAACCCTCATGAATAGATCATCTTTACTTTTTTGGACAACTCCCACAAATAAAAAAAAATAGTTCCCTCATCCCAAAAAAAACATAGAACTCAATGAACAGCAAACAAAAGAAGTGAATTTAAACCTGAATATAAAAAAAGAAACATAGACTAACATGCAATAGAACTCTCAAGTAGTAGATACCAATATGAAGCATTCCTTACCGATATAAATTGGTACAATCAATCGTCAAGAGCTCGAATCGCACTTGAAAAAAATCAAGGATTAAATCACTTTCAGCAGCTCCATCCCATTACATTCAGAAGGTATATACTAATTGCTATACGAATAGGAAGAGAAAAGGAAAAATTAGAAACAAGGGTATGTTTATAGATCTAAAACAAGAGAAGGGATGAAAGAAAAAAGTTTCGATTAAAAACACAGGGAACAAAGAAGCAGAAGAAGAGGAAGAAAAAATGAGGGAAGTGAAGGAACTTGTGTGTGTGTTTGTGTGTTTTTTCCTCTCTTCAGTTCTGATTCTTTGTTTATTTTTCGTCATTTCCTATGGGTGCAAGTAAACATACACAAACTCAACACTGAAAGTGTTGTTAGCAGGGTCGAACTTTGTTTATTTTTCGTCATTTCCTATGGGGTGCAAGTAAACATACACAAACTCAACACTGAAAGTGTTGTTAGCGGGGTTCGAACATGGATCTCCCAGGTTGAATGCCAAAGTCCAAACCACTGGACCACCCCCTTTATTGGCAAAATAATCTTGTGCCATTTCGAATTAACTATAATATACTCTCTCATATCCTAACAATGATCCAGTGCCGTTTCGAATTAACTATAGTATACTCTCTCATATCCTAACATTAGTAGCACTGTATACTCTTATATCCTAATATTGTTAATTTACTTAATCATTAGTACAAGCCCTTAAGCAAAAATGCATGTGTATATAATTACTTTGAGATTAAAGAAGTGAAAAATAAACTTTAGAAGAAAAATGGTAACACAATTTATATTTCTCGAACGAAATTAGTTTGCAAATCTCTTATTCCCAATATGTGTACAGTAGTTAAGAACACATATCCAGCGGTCGTATGACGAAGAAATTCAATTGACAGAATGGAATGGAAGATCTATAAAGAGGGAGGGTCAAAAACTGGTTGAATTAGTGACTTGGTCACTGTGAGGCTGTGATGCAAAAACGAGGCAAAGTTGGTAGCGTAAGATCAAGGCTTTCGATTTCTTATGTTTGTCATTTTAGGATATCAGTCGTGAATCAAGAATCAAACCTAATAACTTTAGATTTTGGACGTTCTGGCTTCGATTTTTTGTTGCTTCCAGTCCATCTCTACCAAATATTTTACGATGCCATGCATGGGTACTAGTGAGTTTTAATTTGGACGGTTCCTGAAACATTATCCAGGGATGGAAGTTAGTCCATCTCTATCAATGTTGTTGTTATGTGCAAATAAAAAATATACAGTACATATTGAGTTTTGATATTTATTTATACTGTTTCTTCAAAAAAAAAAAAAGTTTACGTCAATTTATTATTCTCAACTTTCTTATTTGTATCGCCCATTTCAGTCGAAAAGAATCATTATATATATGTGGAAGTACCAACTAATGAGAGACGTCTCTTGTAAGTATAAATTCAAGAACTTAAAATAGATATAGGCGCAGAGAGTTGTGCATGAAAGTGGGGATTCAAAAAAGGATCTAGTAAATTGTCAGGCGTGAGCCTCTTTTTATTATAATAACCACAAAAAGAAGTGATCTTACTTTCAATGGTGAAATTTTGGAATTGGAAAATGATTCTAACCTCCCATACTCGAACTTACCTTTGGAAAAAAGACGAGTTTTGCCGTTATTATCTTCGAAAGCATGAAAAAACGGGACAAATGATAGACACCGTGGCCCATTTTCATCAATAAAACTACAGTACTACAATCATAAGGCTATCTTGATACGATTTTATCAAGTTAAGATCCCAACTTAAACTGAGATTTGGGCTTCCACAGCTAAAGCCCAGTCAATGCTAATTCCCTCCATTTCTCATTTTCATCTGTCAAGACCGCCATGGAATATTGGTATTACTGTTAGTTTAGCATTAAGTAAATTAAGGACGGAAATATAATTTCTGCATTTATATGATTGATTGAGATTAGTAGTGTAGAAACGGGATTATGAATGAAAATATATGAACTTTTTTCTAAAATTCCCTTTCTCTCTGAACTTTTCTATTCCCTTTAACTCTCTCATCTTTCTCGTTAGATAAATTTCTACCTATCTTTTTTCTAATCCTCTCAATTCTGAAGTCTAAACTAATAGATTCGATAAGTTCCGATCATTACACCATCACCGTTGCCGGATTTTTCAATGTAGGATGAAAACTATGTGAGTTCAGATTTCGAACACAAATTCATTGATATTGTGTAATAATTAGCCCATATGCTACTCCCTTGTGAAGAAATTTAACCCTCACGGCCTCACCCCATGGTTCCGGTCCAAGAGACAGGCAATCCGTTTTTTCATAACAGTCTACAAAATTTTACCGACCGACTAGGTTCTATTTTCCATAAGTTCTTAACATTAAAATTCAAAAAGATGTCGCCTCCTCTTAGGAGGGTACTAATATTGGTGATACATACTCATGATTGTTCGGCAATGTATTTATACAATCATCTAAGTTTCTTTCGATCCCGTAAAAAAAAAACACGGTAAAATTAACATAACTTAACTGGTAAGATTACCATGAATGGAGTATTTTCTGTTCATATTATATATGGATCCAACCTAATACTCTCTCTGTCTCAAAATTATTATCCAATTTAAGATTTCACTTTTAGTACAATTTGAACTAGAAATGAAAACTCAAACTGGACAATAATTATGGGACAGAGTAGTACATGTTTAGGTTTCATAATCAAGTGATGAAAAAAAGGCCTCTTTATCAGAATGCGACATGGCGCCATAGCCTTTTCTTGATTATGCCTTTTAGTGCCAAAAAAATAAAAATAAATTATTACTGATAATAATCATGGGTTGCTATCCCACAGCAAAGGAAGAAAGAAGAAGAAAAAAGGTAAAGTGTGATTGATAGAGATTTCTGTCGTATCCAATTTTTTTTTTTATTGAAAATGGAAATTCTACCCCCTACTATCATATTTCGAACTTGAAAGTTTAGAGGAAAACTCCTATTTAGGATCTTAAATCAATCAAATTAATCAACGTAGTAAGATAGCTACCTAGCTGTATGCATTGGGTTGAATATATTTATGTTTTTTTGTGTCAATTAGGTTTGAAGCAAGTGAACCAACCAAAAGCTCTTCTGCTTTTCTTTTGTTTGGCCAATTAATGGAATTGATTAGACACCTCTTATGGACTAAAAATAGTGCTCTTATTAACAGGTAGCGTTAGGTCGTTGTTTTATCTTCATTTTGATTGTCCATTTACTCCCTCCATTGGCTTTCAAATTCTTTTGCAATTTAGCGGTGGTATAAACAAATGAATATTCCCTTTTTCAAAATACAAGTCGTTTTAGATTTGGAGAAATATTTCAAAATATAAATTATATTAGGCATTCAAGGCAAATTAATTGCTTCTTATCCAAGTTTACTCTCAATAAATAATACCAAATATTTTTTAATTAATTTTGTTTATAATTTCATTACAATTAATGAGGGACAAAACAAATATTTGACACACAAATTATATTTTGAAATAGAAGAATTACCAAACAAATTAACCAAATGTTTGCTCGATACGAAGTACGTGACATTATTATTTATTAGCACGGCTTAGAGACCATATTTAATAATTTAAAATTGTTCTTGCCAATAAGAGGGGATAGAATATCAAAAAAAAATTATTATCATTATTGATCATGAGCATTTTAAATGATTCAAAATCATTCCATCTAGATCTAGTACTCGAGTTAATAAAAGTTGCTCTAATTATACATTTTGCTTTACCAAAGATAAGATTAATTCCTCTAATTACCTCTCAATAAGTATTTTTATTTATTTATTTATTTATTTTTTCATATTCTTCGATTATGAACCCGTTAAATATTTTTGTTCATGATATGGAGTTTTTAACATGTAACGAAACTGACACATTGGTTTGTCTTTAATTTTGTGTTGTATTACATATCACATCCGGAAATAAACAAGTGGTTTTTGTCTAATATAGTAGTACATAACGTGATTGTAATCGAATTAAAAAATTGCATGGAGAGAGCCTAAAATTAGAAAATAGCGATCGAGTATTATTATAAAGGTAGATTTGACGAGTCAATAGCAGTTGCACCCGACATTCCTGATGATGGCCTCAAAAGTCATAGATCCTGGCCCACGTGTCCAGCCAGTTCATCACCTTAAACTAATGATGATTACTTACATTGATCCTTAAAAAAAAAAAAAAAACCAGCCAGTTCATCACGTTAAACTAATGATTACATTGATCTTAAAAACAAATGTGATTATTACTTACCGTGCTCTCATATTAGTAACGTTAAAAGAAAATTCAAAAAAAAAAAAAAAAAGCACAAAAAGAATAAAAATAAAAAGGATGAAATCTATGTATGGTCACAGGTGTGGACTAGTCATATACTTATATAAAGCAAACGCTGAGCAAAGATGTACTCAATCTGAAAAAGTCTTTCCTTCTATCTTTGACTTCACTCCACAGTTCACACACTCCAGTTCTGCCTTCACAATAATCCATTTTCTGCCACCTCTCCGACCACTCTCTGCTGCATCCTCTTCTCCGGTGAAAATGCTGTCATACCCACAAGCATGAACCACATTTTCGTCCCTCAGCTCCAATAAGTCGTTCGTGAGTAACCCATTATGCTGTTCATCGAAACATTAATGGAAAATTGGAAAGAAAGGAAGAGTTTTTAGACAAGGTAAAGCTTCTGACTCTGATTAGATGGATATCACTTATTTATTATGATTTTGCTTCCACCATATACGGAGGAAATGCCTCTGAAATGTCTTCTGAAGTTCAATTTCGGTACTGTTCGTGGTTCTTTGTTTTCTGGGTGCTTCATGTGTAACAGTGCTTACCCTTTGAGTAAAGTTTTGCCCTTTGTTTAATTCAAGCAGTTTCTTTCCAAGCTGTGTAGACTTCATATTGTACCAAAGATTTCTTCTTTCTTTTTTGTTTTCTGGGTCAGTATAATTCTGAATGCTGCAATTTTCTGATAGAATTTTCCCTCTCTGCCTCCTTTGGTTATGTTAATTGGGTATAATCTTTGTGTTTTGAGGCCTATAGAAGCCTATATTCCGTCCCTATTAAAATTTATTGTCTTCAGCAAATTAGCCCTGTTGATGAATTTGTTGACTAGTTTAAATTTTAATTATTTCATTGTCGATATTTTAATATATTTGACAGCAGCCATGGAGCTTTCCTACTTTGGATGCCAGTAAAACAGTTCCGGTATCTCTTGAATCGAATGGATAGTTTTCAGGCTCACTGTTTTGACCAAATTGGGTCCCATTAGAACACAGAATTCAACTCAACAGATCAATCAACTGCATAATAAAATATCAAAGTTTGTTAACAATGTCTTTTTCCTGTTTAAGATTCGTGGGGGGTGGTCCAACTTTGAATTGTGTTTGTAATTCCAAGCTTTTCAATTCAATCATCAGCAGTGGTGGATTCACATGTTTATTTTTCTACAGGAACTAAAGTTGAATGCTTGGCTGGTGTCCTCGCTTTTGTCTGAGGTGCTATTGACCGTAGATTTCTTGAAGCTTAAGAGGTTGATTACCCTTTTAGGTATGATAATACATATTGTTTTGATTTGCTACTTGTTCCTTTCTTTGTATATTGGTTTTTGAGTTAAACATCAACTGAAACAAAATGATGTTTGAATAAGGAGACATTTTAATGAGTCTAGCTTCTGCCTTTTTGTGCTTAGAATTTGTTGTTTGATCCTAGCAGAGTACAAACAGAGTGTTTGACTACTAATGTGGTTATGCTTAAGTTGTATTTCAGTGGTTATAGGCTTTTAAGACTTTGGCGCCGTAGTTATAATTTCCTCTGCTAACTAGAAGTGCAATTTATAGATTCAAATTTTAATTTCTTTGTACAGAACCTGGATGTTTTCCATTTTGATTCAGACTTCATTGTTGAGCATACCTCGATATGCTTGGACAAGGCCTAAGAATTGCCTATGCAAGCTTCTTTACCTGTGTATATCTTGGGTTCATTGTTCACCCTAATTATGGCTCAGAAATTCCATTAGGCTCCGAGATTTCAGTTTATCAGAGCAACTATTGGGTCTCCTCCAATGGGAATTTTGCCCTCGGGTTTTTTAAAACACTAGACCAATATCGGATTGGAATCCGGTTTGCTTCAAAGTCTATTCCAATAGATAAGCAAACAGTGGTTTGGGTAGCTGGAGCAGACCTTACAGTGGGCAACAAGTCATATTTTCGTCTTGATCGAAGGGGGAATTTGATCCTTTATGATTCCGAGTCAGAAGTAATTGCTTGGTCGAGCAAAACTAGCAAGGCTTCTGTTGTGTCAGCTATTCTTCAAGATGATGGGAACTTTGTCCTCCTGAACAATGAAAGAATTGTTGTTTGGCAGAGCTTTGATATTCCTTCTGATACGCTTCTCCCTGGCCAGAACTTCTCTGTTTCACATGTTCTTCGACCTCCTCGCCAGAAGTCTCTTTCCAGTTATTATAGCCTTTACTTAGATACTTCTGGTCAGTTGCAACTTAGGTGGGAAACTAGTGTTATTTACTGGAGGAGTGGAAATCGTTCACGTTCTGCTTCTCGAGCACAGCTAAATAACAATGGAGTGCTGCAACTTCTTGACAAAGAGTCTGAATCTATCTGGTCCATTTCGGGCGAGGATCACAAGGATTCAAATATAATATTCCGATTCCTTAGGTTGGATGCAGATGGAAATCTTCGGTTGTATTCTTGGCAAAATGCTTCAAGTTCTTGGAAGGCTGTATGGCAAGCTGTCAATGACCAGTGTGATGTGTTTGCAACTTGTGACCTCCGTGGCATTTGCATCCTTAATGAAACTGGCTCCAGTATTTGTACTTGCCCGTTCAGGCAAGTTAGTGGGACTAACTCCAAATGTTTGGTTCTCGATGAAAAATGTGAGTCTGGCTTTGACCTTTTACCTTATGAGCATACTAATCTATATGGCATTTATCCACCTAACGAAACTGTCATACATACTAATTTAGAAGAATGTCAAAAGTTGTGCCTCGAAGATCCAGTTTGCACAGCAGCAACATTCATAAACAATGGTTCTGCTCAATGTCGACTAATGAAAACTAATTATATCAGCGGCAAGTATGAGCCTTCTTTGGATTCGGTTTCTTTTGTAAGGACTTGTGCAGATCCTATTGCAGCAAAACCTGATTTGCCGCCAGTGAGTGCTAGAAAATCTGAGCCAAAGATGCCACAGAAACTTTGCATTCCTTGTATCATTGGAGTTTTTTCTGGAACAGTTGGTGTGGTTGTTGTCATCCAGCTAGCTTTAGGAATCTACCTCTTACGGAGAAAGTATATTGGATCGAAAGCTGCTGATTGTGGTTATGTAGATCCTAATGCAAGAGGTTGTGTCATGTTATCATATTCTGAGATCAGTGAGCTGACAGATAATTTCAAGCACCGGCTAGGTCCAAAGGTGTTTCGGGGTGTTCTTCGAGATAATCAGCTAGTGGCAGTGAAAGAGCTAAGTACCAGCATGGAAGAAAGAAAGTTCAGAAGGTCAGTCTCAAAAATCTCAAGTATCTTTCACAAGAATTTAATAAAGTTGGATGGTTACTGTTGTGATTCAGGCCACAGACTTCTGGTGTATGAATTTGCGAAAAATGGTTCACTTTGGAATTGTGTTGAAGATCCTAAACTTTGCAAGAGGTTGACATGGAGAAAAAGGATTGACATCTGCTTGGCTGTGGCACGAGCCATCTCTTACCTGCATAACGGATGTAGAGAGTTCATAAGTCATGGAAATTTGAAATGTGAAAATGTTCTTTTAGATGAAAACTTAGAACCAAAGGTGAGTGAATATGGCTTACATGTATTTCACAGTGAAATGCCGGATACTGAGAAAACTGCTGAGACAGATGTTTTAGATTTTGGGAAGATGGTGGTGAAATTGATCACTGGATGCCAAAATGCCGACGATGCTTGTGAATGGGCATACAGGAAATGGATAACGGAACAAAGTGTGAGCTTAGTTGATACTCGATTGCAAGGCACAGTGAATTCAGAGGAACTGGAACGAGCATTGAGAATTGCATTCTGGTGTTTACAGGTAGATGAGCGAATGAGGCCGTCGATGGGGGAAGTTGTCAAGGTATTAGAGGGTACATTGGATATTGATCCTCCACCTCCACTTCCTTATCACAACCATATGACGCCATCAAGACCGGAATCTCATGGACAACCTTAAATGGAGTAACAGCTTTCATCCCATTATTAGCTGCTTTCCCCTTCTTTTGTAAAGTTAACCAGCTTCGCATCCATGGTTGTATCCTTCACAGTCTGAGCTCCTTGTATTACTTGAAAAGTTCAGGTGAGCATATGCAATTCTTTCACCGCTAAACTTTAAAGGATTTGCAACCATTTTGAGTAATAGAGGATTTCCTGATGCAATTACTCAGAGATTCATTCTTAGTTTATGATTTATTTTTGTTCGTATTTTTCCATTACTAAATAGTAACATTTTGTATGTGTGAGGTCATGCATCTCTACTGCAATTCTACTTAAAAGAGTGAAAGGTAAAGTGAATTCTCCAATCTGAGAATCACCGTGATTGACTAGTCTGCGCATATATAGAGAAAGTTACTGTACATGACAGAGTAGCTTATTTACATGAGTAATTTTCTTTATCTCTAATTCAACAGTCAACACTATCAACTACAATCATAATAATACTAATCAAACACAATCTTTGGATACAAAATTTTTATGTACTACATCAATTATTATATACCACTAGTGTTTACCCTGCACGGTGTGCGGATTGTTCAAGATATTTATAACGCTCATGATTTAATGATTATATGGCATTTCTTAGGAGGTGATGTATGTAAAAATCAAAAAATAAAAATGTAGTGCGGGTTGTTCAAAATATACATGAGATTAATGATTTAACAATTATATGACACAAATAATATTATTGATACAAATTACAGTTGTGTAATTTTTAATGTCAATGTGTTTTGTTGTTTTAAGTACATTTTGAATAATCAACAGAAAAAAAATTTAATATTATTTTCTTTACATCTCTATGTGCAAAATGCTCAATATCTGTATCTACACTCAAAAAAGAGAAAACTACAACATCCCCCTCACAGGAAGGCTTTAATCAAATTCAATATTATTCTCTTTACTCCAAAATAATTTTCACACTTTAAATTTACCGCTAGTGCAAAATAACCTAAATAATAGTCTAAGATTGTAAAATTTATCATCCCTATTTTCTTACGAGCAATGAAAAACTGAGGGAAAACAAGAAGAAAGTTGAAGAAGTAGCTTCCCACGAACCTCATATTGTTTTCTTTTTCTGGCAGGCTACTAAACGCTCTAAAATTTCTCTTCAACGCCCTAAATAAATACCAAATGACCATTTTACCCTTTACATGAATTTATAAATAAAGAGTTTCAATTTCATTCTTTCAATTCTTAAATCAATCTTTCATTTCAAATTCTTCTCAATCCAAACACCTAAAAATCTTAAATTTAATGGCGGATCGAATGAAACGGCTACGAAAAGAGCTACGCAAACTAAAGGTACGTAAATTTGAATTTGAATTGTGTTAAAGTATTTTTTGAAAAAAAAAAAAAAACTCCACTGCCCCGGCCGGTGAGGGAGAACCGCGCCGGGGCAAACAGAGCTGGGTTCTTCGCCACTCCTTACAGAGCTGACGCAGATCTGGGCGCCAGCTCTGTTTGCCCGGGCGCGGTTCTCCCTCGCCGGCCGGGGTAGTGATGGCGCCGGTTTCTTCGCCACCGGAAGATGGGGTGGCGAAGAAAATTCTCGCCAGGCCGGTTGAGCCTGGCGAGAAAAACCGGCGCTGGCCGGTTTTTTTTTTTTTGTTAATTAATTTATATTTATATTTATATTTAATTATTTAATTATTTAATTGTTATTTAATTGTTACTATTAGTAAAGGTAGGTCTTATGAAATTTAGTTTAATTATTTGTTATTAGTGAAATTAATTAGTTATTTTTATTAGTTTAATTTATTTAGGAATTCAATTGTAGTTTTAATTTAGCATAAGGTTTAATCTTCAGTAAATAGAATAGTTATAATACTTTTGTAGTTTTAGGAATTCAATTGTATTTTTAGGGAGTTTAACGGTTTGTAAATTAAATTGGATTATTATGAAAGTTATTATAATTAATATAATTATAGAAAATATATTTATTGGATTAGTCGGTTTAATTGTAATTAGGCTAAAAAATTAAATATTTAGTATAGAAAAATTAAATAAATAAGTTATAATTAAAAAAATACAGGAGGTTAGTAGATAATTAGAGTTACTAAGAAATATTTATGTAGTTGTGGTTAAAATTAAATAATAAATGATAAATTTATTATTTTTTTGGTTAAAAAAAGAAAAAATAAATATGTAGATATTATTAATTGGACTTAGTAGATTTAATAAATTGAACACTTTAGATGTAGAGTAGATAATATTATAATTACATATTTGAATAATATAAAACTGTATTAAACTAATTAATCTAAGTTACGTGTAAAATTTGAAACTGTTGTAGGATGGGATATCGCCTCTTCAGGGATCTGGACATCGGTATGCAGTTACGCGCAATCTGTATGCCGAAGATCGATCAGAAAAAGAAAAAAAGTTAAAGAAAGTGAAAAATGTACATCTTACGTTTGGCCCAGTTGGTGAGTCAGCCAACGTAGACGATGATGATGATGATTTTGAGGGAGAGGATTCAGCAGAGGATAGTTTTGAGAGTGGGGGGGACGATGTGGCTGAGGAGGATGACACATCCTCGTTTTCCTCGCATGAGAGGAGGGATATACGGATTGGAGATACCTCAGTACTGAACCCTATTGGTCGTACTGTTGATCAGACTCTAGTTCACCCTACCCGGGGGGGGGGGGGGGAGGAAGACCCTTGTTGGATTATCAGCCCTGAATTCAGCTTACACTCCTGGTGGTTCCAGTGTTCGTCCCGGTCTACAGAGTACTCTTTATAGAGGACAGAGTACTACTCTTCAGCATGCATCGTCATCAGGTACGTATTTCTAATAATTTAAGCATTCATTACTGTTTGGTCAATTTCTTAATTGCATTCGATAAAGTATTTATACACTATTCGTTATTCGGGTTTCAGGTACTAGCAGACGGTCTAAGGTTTCTACCGAAGAAATTGATGATTGGGTTGTGACAGACGACGTACCTGGCGGGCCATGTGATGGGTCAGTGATTCCTAGTTTTCTTGGACACACTGCTTATCAGTTGTGGAATGGAGAACCACGAGATTACCTTACCATTAAGCCATCGAAGAAGAGTTTGTCTAGATTGCATGGATGGTATGCGAGGTTGCCGGAGAACGCACAGTTGCAGATTCAGCAAACCGGTTTGTATCATCTCATTGATACCATGTATGATGACATTGACCTTGCGCTTGTTTCTGCCTTCATAGAGAGGTGGCAGCCCGACACAAACTCTTTCAACTTGCCGTTTGGGGAGATGACCATTATGATGCATGATGTGGCACACATTTTGGCGATTCCCCTTGATGGTGACTTGTTGACCCAACCTGCGGAAGGTGAGATTTTGAAGAGGCAGGTCGCGAGATTGCTTGGGATGTCGTTGGCTGAGTTAAAGCGTGCATGGAGCCACGGAGGTGTGAGCGACATATTGATTGAGGAGTGTTGTCGTAGGGTCCTCCCCGCTGTTCAGGTGCAAGCTTGGGCGCTGTGGGCGCCGGTTCTCTCGGCCGGCGAGGGAGAACCGCCGGGCGCGAGCAGAGCTGGTGCGCGGATCTGCGCGCCAGCTCGCTCGCCCGGCGCGGTTCTCCCTCGCCGGCCGGAGCAGTGGTTTTTTTTTTTTTTTTAATAAATACTCCTACATAAAACAAAATCTAAATTTACGTAACTTTAGTTTCCGTAGCTCTTTACGTAGCCGTTTCATTCGATCACCCATTGAATCTAAGTTTTTAGGAGTTTGGATTGAAAGAATTTGAAATGAAAGATTGATTTAGGAATTGAAAGAATGAAACTGAAACTCTTAATTTATAAAATCATGTAAGGGTAAAATGGTCATTTGGTATTTAATTAGGGCGCTCAAGGAAAATTTTTAGGGCGTTTAGTAGCCTCCCAGAATATTTATATCACCAATAGTGGGAGCAGTTAATTTACTCTTGTAGTGTTCTTGTATCCCACCTACTATCCGTAATTTGCTACAATTTTGACAAAATATCTATTCAAGCTATTCCTTAAAGTAATCAAGATAACTCAAAATATCTGAAGAACGGCATAATTTGGCTATTTTTTCAAGCTCAGAATCTCACTGCTTACATTAGCAAAGATTGAGCAGGAGCACAACAAATTTGTCGTTTCTTAACAAAAAGACTAGCACTTTTCAACTGTTTCTTTGGATAACACATTAAATAAGAAGACTAATTAGTTCTTAATTTCCATGTTTTATGCATGGATAAGATGATCACGGCCTTATATATAAGAGAAACACGAATATACAATCAGAAATCATACCATATGTTATCGTATATGCATATGGAATTGTCCAAGGGGTTTTTGAACGAGATCAGCTATGGTGAGGGTTATGGCAGCCGGCCTTGTTCAACACTGAAGGGAAAAAGGTCCCGAACACCGGAAAGTTTGTGTTGTCCGCCAGCTCCGAAGAAGAGAAGAGCGGCGGTGGCCACTTTTCCGGGAGCGGGCTGCTCGTTGAAACGGTCAGCAATAAATGTGACATTTTTTGCTCATCCTGATATAGAGGTCTTTTTCTTGAGAGCATTTCAGAATTTTTCAGCTTGAAATTTCGCCGAATTTTTCCATTGCATTTGGCTAAAGTCGTTTTGTACGTAGTTATAAATTGTTTCTGAGTCTTATTAATTTGAGCTTTTAATACGTTGATTTTTCTTTGAAATTGATGTGGATTTTCTTTAACATCATGCTATGTCAAAGAGGTTATGGACTTTGATTGACCCAAAAGCTGTATACTCTAAAATTAAGCTCGATTTCTACGTATGACTTCTTTTTCTTACACTTCTTTCGGTAGTGTCGCTTTTACATGTCATTCCGATATTCTCACTTATTTAATTTTTCCCAACTTTTTCATATGTAAGAGAATGATTAAAGTTATATATATGCTTCTAATAAATTAATAAACATTTGACCTTCATTTCCATTAGTTATGTATTTCTCGTCGCATTTAAGTTTTCCATCTACTCGCATTACGCTATTCTCTATCTTTCTCGCGATTAGCACCTTTACCCTTTTTCGCTCTTGAGTCATTTCAGCTTGTTCAATATGTGTTCTACGTTGTCATTGGCAGTTATTTCTAGGAACCTAAAAAGTGACGTCAATTTGTTTTTCCAAAATAGAATAATTGATTCCACCTTTTCTTTTATTTTTTTCCCCGGAAGAATTGAGGACCGGGTTTCCACCCAGTTTCGTAAGTTTCGTCGTACCGTTGACGCCTTCAAATTCATTTTGGAACTCTGAAGCCTAGAAAACATATATCAATTTCTTAACACATGCTTTTAATTTGTACAATTCTATCAAAATGAAATTGAGAGAATCAAATTTTATGACAAATTATTTGGCCTCTCTAGCGGTGTAGGGGCCAGTGGGATTGC